TTTTATTTATACGTCACGTCCAACATAAAACTTTATGTGGGTAATTTACAGTAATTAATACTGCTTTAGCTATTTCTCTTAATTTAAGCCGTTTGAATCGTCAAAGTTTCAAGTACACACATTTAGTCATGCACATGAAATGTGTATCTGTTTCTAAAAATGGGAATGCAAACCATGTTCAGCCCAGATTATTTTTTGAACAGCTTCGCTCAAAAGACCAAATTTTTAGAGACAATAGCTAGCCCGGAATTTGCGAAGATGCGAAAATTTCGGCAACCTATATGGGCGCCGAAAGTTCGCGCAACGCTCTGTTTGATCTGTGCAGCACTTCGGACTTTTCGCGAACTTTCGGCGCCCATAACATAACTTTCTGAAATGTTCGTATCTTCGCAAAATTCCGTACTAAATCTTGTTTCTAAAAAGTTACTCTTTCAAACTAACATGGCCAAAAAATAATCTGGGCTGAACATGGTTTGCGTCCTCAACTTGATGGACAAGTCACACATAAAATGTTTCCCTCACTCACGAGAGAAGAGAATGCATGCCCAAGGGTAATTAAAATTACGGAAAGATTCAGATTTATGTGACACGCCGACATACACACAACTACAACTCTAGTTCATAACAGATCGTACATATGAAAACGAAAATAAATGACATTTCCTACAAAATAGTGCTAAATATTGCATGCAACTAACTAATCAACCAACCAAGTAGATAGATAACCACAAAAACATTTTTTTATCTTCTGTCTGTGTTGTGTGGGAGTAAATCCTGACAAATGTGGGAACATTGAGTCTCCATTTTTACATTCCTGACCAATAAATCGTACCGATTTCCCACTGATTATTTGCCGAGGAGCGTCCTGTAATTAGCCTCATCACATGATTTTTACCTTAATTTTTAATTATTTACACTCAAACTGGTCATGTTTAGCGAGCAACGAAACAAAGACGTGTTGATTTTTAGGGATGCAATTATTTTTTGTACATACATAAACATAAATAATCCTCATTATTTATTTGTGTGCAAATATTTAGCAGTGTTTTCAGCAATGAGGAACTACTTGTGCAAAAATTCAGTTCAGCAGAACACTACTGTCGGACATACACACATAGTCCAACTTTTTCATGGCATATACATAGCTCATCATCATATTACATACAGATCTAGTATACACTGCACCCAGCGACTATTAATTGGTTGGGGTTTGAGTCGTTGTAAAATTGTAGACAGTCATAAATAATGTTGTACGAGTTCTATAACTCGCGTCCTTCACCTACAGAGATTATCAGAAAGATTACACATTTTTACTCTGCTTGCACATTTAATACCACAAAAACATACATACATATTAAGCTGGCTACAATATACATACAGTAGCCGCGGAAGCTGTGGGGACATCTGGGGACATTAACATTGTAGGATGGGGGGAGGGAGGGGTTTATATAAGATGGGGAGATGATGCGGACACCAAACAACCGTGGGGACATTGTCCCTCTGTCCTCGCCCACGCTTCCGCGGCCACTGACACATGGAATAATTAGTTCCCGGAGTGGATATACATACATAGCAAAATCCCCCACCATTAAATAGATGAAGTTGTCGCATATGTACATACATAATACTCGCCAATAATATTACATGCACCAAGGGTGGGCGTATTGTAACATGCTAAATCGACAATTAGTTATGTTCTCCATGATAAAAAAGAAACTCGCAAAATAAAAATAGACCCTCATTGTTTTTTATGTTACACTGAAATCAGAGCTGTAGCCAATTTTCATGCATCTCATCCGCATAATAATAATAACAAATCATCTCTTTTATTATGTAGCTGAACAGTTGCAATATATTTTCTGCATGTCTACTATTTAATATTTGGCGAGTTGATGACCGTTTTTGCCACTAATGTTTGTTTTCCTACTACTGGCTTTAATTGTACTTTATGCTAACAAGGGCGGATGGTGGTGATGGAAAATAACATGCACTTTGCAACAAAAAAGATCTTATATAAGCTGTTTTTACATGGTTTATCTATTGAAACGATATCAAAATAAAATTGCTTTCGTATCAATTTTTTTGTACGTGAGGTCTGCAGAATTGTATTTAGTCTAGCTAAACTAAACACTAAAAGTCTGCTGGTCTGGTGTGATGTGTGTCGTGCAATTTTGTTTCTAACCAAGCAAAGCTTGCCAAATATATTACAAATGTACACGTGAATTTTTTACTAGCCTGGCGTTCCCATAAGAATACAATACACTCATTCTCTCCCACTCCTCCATTGTTGTGCTGGTTGGTAGTGCTACTGGCCAACAAGTTGGATTTGGCTGGTTGTGTTGTGTAGCTAATTCGTTTCAATGTCATTTTTTACCACTTTGCAATCTGCACGTATATGCAGGAGCCGCGGAAGCTGTGGGAACATGTGGGTATTAAAGCTTTATAATATCGGTGGCAAATTTTTACGGACCAGTATAATTTTACTACGGATTGTAAAATATTTAAGCGTGATGAAATTTCTGCCAGCAAAAACACGTGCCCACTGGATTAACATTGCGAGCGGGCTGAAATTTAAATCAAATCCGTCACGCTGAAATATTTTTCAATCAATACCAAGCGGTAATAAGTTTAATACCGAGAAATCAATGACTGTACCTGGTTTCGAACAGTGTAAAATTATGCGATATCAAATTATGTAAAAAGTTTCTTTATGTGAAAATGTCATAAAAATTATACAATATTACCCTTATGCAAACAACCTTTATGCAAATCCACCTAGAACCGATGTGGGGACATAAGCATTGTAGGATAAGGGAGGGACGGGTTTATATAAGGTAGGGAAATGATTTACCGTGGGGACATTGTCCCTCTGTCCCCACGAACGCTTCCGCAGCCACTGTGTGTGTTCGACTGCTTAAGTATGTACGTAGGCATGGATGGATGGATGGGATTGAGAGATACACGAGATTAAGGGTGAAAATTGCAGCAGTTGTTGCTGCTGATGATACATTATAGTTAAACATATAGGCAAAAAAATGATAAGCCATGCTCAAAGTGTTGTGCTGTTGTGTAAGTCAAGTCAATGTCGATGATGTGTGGCGCTGTGTCAAGTCAAGTATTTAATCTTGATTTTGATTGCTTGTGACGGCAAGGTTTTGATTATTACTTAGCTGAAGCTCAAGCTATGGCCAATTATTCCCATTATGAATTAGGCACGGTGTATGTGTATAGATTGCATTTTTATAATGATCTTAAATCCACATTATTCGCAATGTTAGTAAGTACTTAAATGTTCAAGATTTATGGGCTTCTTTTTTGTGGCCGAATTATGTGTTACTTAACAAGTTTCCTTTACGTGACACAATGTACTTAATAATGCTCTTAATTTTGGAATTCCCTTGAATGGACGTACGTGGCTTAAATAAAAGTGCATCTTGCAAGTTATTGAGTGTACTGTACAGTAGAGAAATTTTGTAATTATAATTGATCGTCGTTCGTATTTATGATTCATATAAGTTAATATTCGACCCAGTAATAATGAACAGAGGGCGGATATGTATTTATTTTCAACGATGACGACCGACGGTCAAATTTTGTGTTTGTTCCCTAACTCGTATAGGTTATAAAAATTTCAAACTATTTTTGACGTATTTTTACATATTTCAAGGTTTTCATGCATATAAATATTTACACTATTATTTGAAAAATGCGTACATCTTTTATATATTTTTTCAAAAATATGTATAAATTTTGTAAATATTTCAACGGCGTGAGACTCTCATACCGTTGAAATTTTTTTGCTTAAAGAAATTGGACAACAAAAACTCCGGAGCATTATATTCAGAAATACAAACTTTTTCAAAATTCTTATTTTTAGTTTTTTCGTAAATAGTATAGTAATAATAGTATAGTTCTGTGAATAGTACTTCAACATTTTTACGATTTTTCTTTACTGCATATCCGCCCTCTGATAAATCTGGAGCAGTATAGTTAAAAATACGAATTTTTCGAAATTTCTTATTTTCATATTTTCTTTGAAAATATTAAATACATATTTCAGCGATTTTTCGTAAATACATATCCGCCCTCTTCTGATAATGAATGACCGATCGACAAGAATAAGTACACAGTTGAGTGACGCACAGGTGCACTATTAATTTTAAAAACTCGCTTCTTCCACTTACAACATGACCTCCATGATTGAATCGTAATGAACAGAATTCATCAATTATTTAGCCCAATAAAAATAAAAATATGACTTGTACAGCAAGATCTCGGGTGATTCTACATGTAATCTAAAATCGTGTAATTAAATGAAACTTGATTCTTCAATCAGGTCAACCCGCTTATTTACATATGCACCATCAATAAAAATCGATCCCATCCTCTGATTAAAATTTACAAGTTAAATTAAAATTCAATCTAATGATTTATTGTCTTCTTTGGTGATCTGATCTACAAGTAGGAAATATAATAAAAGGGCGAGGAGCAAACAGTTTTTACTCGAATTTTACAACACCACCCAGACAACGATCAGACGAACAGACCAGTAAAAAATACTAATGAGAAACTCGATGAAAAAGTTTGATTTTCAATTATTATTGTAAATTAGAGGTGAGTCGAGGAGCGGTTTCCAAAAGCTGGGCTTTGTCAAGCTCGAAAAGCTATGCCAAGCTCGAAAAATCTAAGCTCCGTCAAGCTCGGCTCGATTCAGACTCGGAAAGCTAGGTTCGCTCAAGCTCGACAAAGCTAGGCTCGCTCAAGCTCAATAAAGCTAGGCTCGGTTCAAGCTTGACAAAGCTCGAAAAAAGCTAGGCTCGGTTCAAGCTCGACAAAGGTTCACTCACTCAAGCCCGAAAAAGCTAGGCTCGGTTTAATTGAACCGGCCCGAACATGACCAAACTTGGTTCAACTCAGCATCTGCCTCACCTCTATTATAATTCGAATTCATATTATTACCTATTCAATATCTGACTGTCTCATTCTTATTATTGTTTCAGTGTCCTGACATCGATGGAGATGGGGACCCACCACTACGGATGGGGACTGATGACGATGCCATTGTCGAAAGCTGTTTTAGCCTAGCCCTAAATTCGGACAACATTGCTCAAACATTCGCGCAAGCGATAATTAACAATCTCGAGGGGAAAAGTGACGAGGAGATTGAAGAGCTTCTTGACAAAAAGAAGGTAAGGCTGCAATGTTTTTTTTATTTCCTGTGCAAAATGCGAGGCAACCCTGCAATTAATTATCGTACGTACGTTTATGCCGCATCGCTAATTAACTCATCCATGAGACTAATTTGCCATCAATCAATCAACATGCACATGCAGACATACTGTATTTAATGGCACATGCATATTTATTTTGTCACCTTCGTGGTTTTATTTATTGGAAAAATTTTTTACCACGAGGTTTACTTTGCTTTCATTCAAGGCGAATTATACAATCTTACAAAGGAGGTCTCCCAGCGGATGCTCTCCGATTTTGAGCAAATTACTGTGAATCGATGACAAATTTAATTAGTATGAAATTTGCGAAAGACACGATCTCCCAATGGGCACGTTTGGCGCAGATATTTGCATCCGAAGAGGAGAAAACGCGCAGTAAATTTGGAAAGTGAAAACTTTGTCGACTTTAAAGCGCCTTTTCTCCTCTTGGGATGCAAATATCTCGGCAAAACGTGCCCATTGGGAGATCATGTCTTTCACAAATTTCATACAAATTAAATTTGCGCTTGATTGACACTAATTTTGCCAAAATTGGAGAGCATACGTTGGGAGACCTCCATTGTCCGTGCAGAACTTTTTACATATTAAATACTGGCGAGAAATGTTGGTTAGATGATGATGCAACTGGAGGCGTTTATTGTATACATAAAGCGAGTCGCTTTAAGCGACTATTTCATCGCATGCATGCATAATTTCAGCATAATACATACACGCACGGACGGAGTGGTAATGATTATTATCATTATTATTATACGTACGATTAAGAAGTAATGGGCATTAAATCATCAAAAAGTTTTAGCTCGGTGCTTTGTAAACAAAATAATTTTGAGATTTTAATTTGATTGAGAAAATATGGCTGGTTGGTGAATCATCGGTTTGAAAGTTGGCCGTTAGGCAGGCAGGCGAGTTAAATTAAATAATTATGGGTGGACGGACGGATGGATGGATAACGGAATTAAAGAGTTCTTTCTTTTTAATGGGACACATTATCATTATTGTGTATCAAACTGGACCCCATTCCAACCGAATTGACATGACGAAAGTATACCATAGTTTTTTATCTGTCCTTCCGATGAATGCAGGGGCCGCGGAAGCGTGGGGACAGAGGGACAATTCGATGTCCCCATCATCATGTTATACAAACCCCTCCCTCCCCTATCCTACAGTTTTAATGTCCCCCGATGTCCCCACGACTTCTGCGCGACCACTGTATGAATGTAACAGGATGACATTCCGTTCTCGTGACTTGGTTAATTGAAAAGGGTGATTGCACTACAAGATTTACTCACAATTATCAATTAATTGACATTTTATATACGATGTACATAACATAGAATGAGAGGGCAGTGCCAGGGTGGAGAAGTCCAGTCCAGTGTCCGCGGAAGCGTGGGGACAGAGGGACAATGTCCCCACGGTTATTGGATGTCCGTATCATCTCCACATGTTATGGAAACCCCTCCCTCCCTTTATCCTACAAAGTTAATGTCCCTCCGGCTTCTGCGGCCACTGGGAAAGTTCAGGCTACTCAAATGTAAAAGTCCATGCAAATGATGCCACTAAATGACAGGAAATTGAATAAAACTGCCGTTAATTAAGGGAGAAAATTGATTTTTTTTGTGCAATTACTAACAAAGTGCATACACGTGCCGGTCAAAAAACTGAAGTTGTCCAGTTTCGCTGCCCTCGTGACAACAATTTGGTAGGGAAAAAGTAATTGATTTTTGACAGTTATGAAATTCTGGCTACGTGACACTAACCAAATTGATCGACGAGAATGAGTACGTACGAGTGCCCAAATTTTTAATTAGCACAGAATTGTAACACATTCTTCTCAACTTGTCCATCATCCTTGTACGAGTAAGTAACCTATGCCAAGGTTGTCGTTGCCATATTTTTATAGAGGTGACCCTACCGACCGAACCTGTGTATATTTTGGTTTAATCATTATTTTACCTATTTACATGCACGTACAACTTGTTCCACCTTCTACTAAGAAATATATAGCAGAATATTTAGTTATTATGACACCTGAAATTATTCACCAGACGGACAAGTACAAATCCATATGTACGAAAATATTGCTAATGTTCTTGTGGTCTGGATTATGAAATATTCAAACATTAAATATTGTACGACTGACTCATGCTTATTCTTGCCTCTCGGTTATACATAGTTTCCATTTTCATACGAGCTATGTGTAACGGCTTAGCTTAGGGATTACCAAAAACAACAAGATTATTATGCAATTCGCCATTATTCTTGCGATATCGTATCGTTCTAATTAAAATGATCTCTATACCTTTGAGTCGTGCTATAGATCAAAATGAAAACAATTCTCGGTATAAAAATTTGTTACGTATGCAAATTCAATATTTATTTAATAACATTTTGTACGTACATAACCTTTACCCATCGTGACTCTATGTATCGTCTCCTATTAATCTTGCCATTACATTATCGAACCGGTTAATGGGTTTTCTGCTTGAGCGCGTATAAAAAGGTTGTAATCTTAATTTAATCCAAGGATTTGATTGACACAGACAAGAAGAGCCGTGATGATGGGAACGCTCTCTGAGTTTAGTTATCCGGTCGTCGAGTAGTTGTCAATGTCGTTTGTTTGCTATTCACAACGTGACCGATTTTTGAGCAAACCTTATTTATTTTTTACACATCAGATGTAAACTTGTCCAGTCCGGTGTGGTCGTGGTCATGGTCATGTAGATATTAACAGTGGCCGCGGAAGCGTGCGTGGGGACAGAGTCTATCGACAGTCCCCTCAGTTATTCCATGTCCCCATCATCTCCCCGTGTTATACAAACCCCTGCCTCCCCCCATCCTACAATGTTAATGTCCTCAGATGTCCCCACAGCTTCCACGGCCACTGCATCTATTCCTCCCTGGAGAGAAGGCTTGGAAATATGGATTGGCTGGTATTGAATAATAGGGATGCAACCCCGCTGTGGCAGGTTTTCCATTACATCAGCCACGAAATAAATAATTTGTTCGCAGGTAAAGCAAAAAGAAGAAGCAGGCTTCTCCTTAAAGAGAAATGCAATCCACATGATGAGACGAGGTGTGATCAAATAACAATAAAAATGATAATACATTATTTTCCCATTACACAGCCTCAGCTATTTAGTTACTGCCTGCATCAATATCACCTTGTCATTCAGCCTGCAGGACGAGGCATGCATGCATGCGATCATGTCCTCAATAGTTTTATTGCACCAACAAATAACGAGGAATCAGTGGCCGCGGACAATGTCCCCACGGTTGTTCGATGTCCGCATCATCTCCCCATGTTATATAAACCCTTCCCTCCCCTATCCTACAATGCTAATGTCCCCCGATGTCCCCACGGCTTCCGCGGCCACTGCTGTGCCAACTATGAGCATTTTTTTTGCAAATTTTTCTACAATCAGGCAAATACGTGCATTTCGTGCCGTAGGCCATGGTTGGTTGGTTGACAGTGAAATTAATCACGCAACAGATAAATAAATTTGCTGGGGGCAGTTCTTGCTTTGGTCTGGATAAGACAATCAATTAAATTAATTGAATATTTTTTCTCACTTACTCATGAATTGACACCTTTTCCCAGTATTTCATTCACCGGTGACACATCTCAGGGCCGATCAGGAGGAATTATTAGTCATTTACTGCTGCTCAGATAAGGTTAATCGAGGCAGTTTGCGGTTTAGGTTGGTTACGACATTTTTCTGCGATGCTAAATACAATCTGAACCACAATCGTACTTATGTATTTGCTATAAAAGTATGAAATATAGCGTTTGTTCCCACCCTTTATTAAATACGGTGTCAGTGGCCGCGGAAGCTGTGGGGACATTAACATTGTAGGATGGGGGAGGGAGGGGTTTGCATGTATAAGATGGGGAGATGATACCGACATCGAACAACGTGGGGACATTGTCCAAACACTTCGGCGGCCACTGCACAGTTTCAGGAAAACAAAAAAAGAGGAGTTTAATACGACCACGATTATGTATCAGAATGATGATTAATGTTTCGCAAATCCAGTATTTTTCAGTGGATTGGATTCAATAATGGAGTTGTGGTTGCAGGTTAGGTTAGGTAATACATACATAAAAATTATTTATATGTAGGATGATGAGATGATGATGAGTGAAGTGTATCTGTGTGTGTCCGTTGGGCGAGAAGGAGGGGATGATGTCATCCATATGTATTTTATTGGCAGACAGATAGGCATGTCCAATCCAATTTAATATGTTTGATTTGATTACATTATGTATCTTTACCAAGAGCAAATTTTTAGGTGGCTTGGTGTTTTTCCACAACTTGTTAAATATAATAACCGACCAGAATTGCATGGTGCAGTTGAATGCGTGCAAATTTGCAAATTTGAATGAAATTCAAAAATTCTACATGATTAAGTTATAATCAGGAAAATATGGTAATAAAACCTTTGAAACTGTTAGAAAATATTCCGGTCTGGTCAGTCAGTCAGGATAGATTTGAAAATTATAATGGAGTATCGACACCTGCACGCCCAGTGGCCGCGGAAGGTGTGGGGACATCTGGGGGACATTAACATTGTAGGATGGGGAAGGAGGGGTTTATGTAAGATGGGCAGATGATGCGGACATCGAATAACCGTGGGGACATTGTCTCCAACTGTTCCGCGGCCACTGCCTGCACCTGAATAAATTCAAATGGTCAAGAATACCACTTTATGAGTGGTCGGTTTCTGGTTGTTTTTCTTTCTCAAAGTGAAATCGTATTATTCTTTCGGAGTAACAATTAACTGTTGAATGTAAATGAGAAAACAAGAATGATTAATTTGTTGTTCCCCGTATAATGAGTTAGGTAGAATAAAAATAACAACTTGTTGGGTTTCCCATTGGGTTTGACTACTTACTAGTTCTCAATTAGAGTTTTATCCATCCTTCACTTTTTTCTAACCCAATCCAGCCAAATATTTGG